GCCCGCCTCCCCCGATTCAGCCGCTGGTCAGTTTTAGCAGTGGCTGAATCAGGGAAGCTGGGGGCAGAGCAGCTGCAATGGTCCGGCTGCCCGGAGCACTTCCGGGTTCCTGATGGTGCCGGACCATCAGGAGTGCCGGACCAGCAGATGCCTGACCATCAGAGTTTTACTGTATATGGCTTTAAACCCAGTGTCATGGAATTTATCTCCCATAAGTGTAAGCAGCGCTTCTTGATTATTTTCTCAACTATTTATCTATTGTCAGTGATGCAGTATATTTACTACACTTGCACATGAGTAACTTTAAGCTCCTATTTGTCATTTGAAGAAGTGGGTTGTGCCCACAAAAGCTCATGGTACTATTTCAATAAAACCTGCACTATCTGGAACTTAAGCATCTGGGAAACTGTAGAAACCAGCAAATTTTTGATGCTGAAAAGCAAAAAAAAAAAAAAAAAAAAAAAAAAAAAAAAAAAAAAACGCCCCCCCAAAACCCCCAGCCGTATTTTGTCATTGAGGCTGCCCGTTTAAGAAATGCAGTTACAGGCTTTTTTTAGGTCACATTAGGCTCCTGCTGGCGACCACCATCTTGAAAAATCCATTTTGAATGGCCGCGCAAGATGGCTCCTCTGCCCCAATGAGCACAGGCAGCTGGGGGCCATTTTCAGAGGCACAGGGGTGGTTTCACAAGCCGCACTTTCAGGGGGGAAAGAGCCATGTGCGGCTTGCGAGTCATGGATTGGCCATGGCTGATATAGATCATCCCTGACAGGTGTCTGTCTAACCTGTTCTTAAATCCCATAGGCCCTGCATGGCTCCTGTCCCTCCCCCCCCAGAAAAATCAGAATTTTTAGGTTACTGGCACACCTTAATCTCCAGGCGTGGCAGATAACACAGGTTTTACTGTATATATTTTTGTTAGTCTCTAAAGTGAGACATGTGCATAAATATCTTGCTGAATCAGGATATAAAAGTGTTAAAGATGCTGTGATTTCAAAAGGGTAGCTAAAAGGATAGTACCTTAAAGACTTGCAAAACATGTAGATGGTATCATGAGCTTTCATGGGTACAACCCACTTCTTCAGGTGAATGGAGTACTAACAGTCCAGTTCCAAAATAAAGTCCAGTTCCAAAATAAATAGGGGATGAGAGAGGGATGGGAAGGAAGGGAAAAAATAGTGAATTAGAGTGTTCACGTTATATGAAGCTGATAGAGAAGGTGCAAATTGTTCTTAATACCCATTGTTTGGTTGGTTAAGTCATTAGGATGTGAAAGGTAGTGTGCTAGCCAGATAATATCTTTATTCATACCTTTGTGATGGGTCCCAAACTTGAATGAAGTACTTGAAAAATGGCCAAACTGGACAGTCTCTATGGGAAAGAATTAATGAACACAAATCAGATATCCGAAAAGGCAACACACAGAAACCTGTTGGAGAGCATGTTAACCTGCCTGGGCACTCATTAATGGCTCTCAAAGTCACCGTGTTCTTTCAGGCCAATTCCACAAGCCAAATACACAGGTAGTGGACCCTCTGCTCCCTGTCTCCTACCCCTCCTTTTTTTCCTCTTCCCCCCACCCCCTCCTATTTATTTTGGGTCTGCACATCCTAAACTCAAAACTCTGGTCATCTGAAGAAGTGGGCTGTGCCCATGAAAGCTCATGATACCATCTACATTTTTTGTAAGTCTATGAAGTGCTACCAGATCATTTGTTGTTTTTTTCTGTACAGACTAACTCGGCTACTCCCTGAAGCTTCATTTACAAGTTTGGGACCCATCACAATGTTATTAATAAAGACATTTCCTGGCTAGCACACTACTGTCCACATCCTAATGACTTAAAAACAACAATGGGTACTTAAGAACAATTTACATCTCCTCTGTCAGCTTCATGTAACACAAACACTCTAATTCACTATTTTTTCCCTTCCTTCATTCCCCTCCTCTCCCCATCCCCTATTTATTTTGGAACTGGACTGTTAAAACTCCATTCATCTGGAGAAGTGGGTTGTACCCATGAAAGCTCATAATACCATATACATGTTTTGTTAGTTTTTAAGGTCCTGTTACACTATTCATTGTTTTTTAAAGTTTTTCCAGTTACAGACTAACTTGCCTACCCCTCTGAAGCTTTTAAAAGGATAGTGTTAAAGTTTGGGGACTTTTTTAAGTATAGTGGTTGGATGCTCATTTAAGAGACAGATACCATTTGGCTTGCATGAGTCATGCCGCGAGCGAGTGCTATAGCAGTTTCCTCTTACCACTCTAGCAACATAACACATGGTAATATAACACAGTCTGGATTTATAACAAGCCTGCTGTTTCATTTATTAAGTTTATCTTTAAGAAAGGGCCCTCTTTCCAAATGGTAAATTATGTGGTAGTTTTGTAACATGCAACTAATAGAATAAATAAACTCAGCAACTTTTTGTTACTGATCTAAATATGCATTTCAATTTGGTCTACAGAGATGAAAGAGTAATGCACTGATCCATTAAGCTATCTAATTCTAAACTTTTAACATTTCTTTTTTTAAATATGGCTGGTTTTATCACTTAGGGCAGGGGTGTCCAAACTTTTTTCAAAGAGGGCCAGATTTGAAGAAGTGAACATGCGTGAGGGCCGTCCCCACACTCTCAGCCCCAAGGCGGAGGGCCCGCGGGGTCGGAGGCAGGCGGAGAGCGCACGGCACACCGGCCTCACGGCGGCCCGGGGGCAGGGCGAACCCGCAGCCGAGCGGGGGAGCGGGGCTGTGGACGTGCCCTACAGGGCAGGCTCTAGGACCGCAGAGGCCATGGGCGGCAGCGGCGCGGCCGGAAGCGGCGTGCTAGGCGCGCCAGTTCAAAAGAGCGCCAGGGAGCCAGGAGAGGGGGAGGAAGCGGGGGCCGTATTAAACCGGAACACGGGCCGCAATTGGCCCGCGGGCCGGACTTTGGGCATGCCTGACTTAGGGTATGTCTCCACTGCACGGCTATTTTGCAAATAGCTACCCCATGTCTACACAAGCCACCCATTCTTTTGAAATATTTTTTGAAATAACAGGCACGCTATTTTGCCATCCCAGTAAACTTCGTTGCATGAGGGATAAGGGATGGCTCAAAATAGCATGTTATTTCGAAATTTGGTGCTGTATAGACAAGCCAGATTTCAAAATAAGCTATTTCAAAATAGATTCAAGATAAAATATGCAATTTGTATAGCGCAAATTGCATATCTTGTTTTGAGTTTAGGGTGCCGTGTAGATGCACCCTTAGTGAGCTGATGTCTGCATCACGTCCAGCACTAGCCGGTATAACTTTTGTTACCTTGAAGAGGGCGATCTCAGGTTGAGGGCAATGGAAACTACTGTGCCCTCTCATACTTAGAGTTAAACCTATTTGATATGGGCTGACAAACAAAGCCAAGGATGTAATTTGCATTTTCACTCTGTGTTGTTGTGCATTTGTTCTGTAAATAATAGTAATTCTTCAATTTCCAGTCTCTTCAATCTGGAACATTTTAATAATAATTAAAAATAAAGCCTAATTACTTTTTTTCTGTTCTTTGCTCTATTTCTGGGTAGCATAACCCTCAAAAATGTACCAGCTTTATTAGTATATAATGTTGCAATTGTGGTTTTTACACAAGGACTGTGCCAATAGTATGAAACCTGTTACAATGATCATGTTTATGTATATTTTGTTTGGTTCCTTGATTCTGTTGTTAGAGATTTGGATGACAAGCCTCTTCTGAGGCCAGGCTCCAGTTCTATCCTCTCAACAAGAACTCGACCAAATCGGGCTCTGGAGCTCAGTACATCTTCTCTGTCATACTCTGCTCATTCTGCTAGAAGACGCAACCCACCACCACGTACCCTGCATCCTATCAACCCTAACCACTCTCGCTCTGGGACGCCAAGAACCATAGATGAAGTCATCAGAGGAACACGACTGTATGTTTAAAAACAGTTTTTCACTTTACAAATTATAGAACCAAGTCCATATAAAGCAAAAAAGCTGTCAAATGGAGAAAATGTCTGTGTTTGTTTAAAAAATATATAATTGCAAATTAAATCATGCCTACCAAGAAAGCTGAAACTGCTAAATTTGCTAAAATAGACCCTAACATTTTAGCTGCAACTGATGTTTCTGAAAATTGCCTAAGCTTATGATGCTGTGCATTGCTGTATAAGGGAGGCGATAGCCTTATAAGTTTTTGAGCAACTACAGTGTTATTAATAGCAACCTTAGAGAGAGGAGAAGAGTTGCATGTAAATATGTATAATATAATAGCTACAGAGAATGCTAATATTAGTGAGCCTGTTTCCAAGCCTACTGAAGTCAATGGAAAGACTCCCATTGACCTAGATGGGCTTTGGATCAAATCTAGATGCAATTTTCATTTTCCTTTAGTCTTTTGCCTGCATCCAAAACAAACTTTTACATTTTGAAAGCAACTGTGTCACATCCTTTGCCGAAGTGTTAGAGCTGGCTCTTCTGGATTTAGAAGTGACATGCCAAAATGCATCATTCTAGGAAGCCACCAGAACCAAAAGTCTTTAAGGCCTGGTCTACACTAGGGGATAAGTTCAAATTAAGATACACAACTTTAGCCATGTTAATTGCATAGCTTAAGTCCAAGTATCTTAACTTGAATTTTACTACTGTCCACACTGCGGGAAGTCAAAGGGTGCACGCTGTCCCTTCAGCTTCCCTTACTCCTTGTAGAAGCAGGACTACCGGCATTGACAGGAGCGCCCTCTCAGTTCAAATTAGCATGTCTTCACTAGACCTGCTAATTTGAACCCTGGAAGATAGACTGCGGCTGCTTCAGTCTTATCTGGAGTGTAGACATGGCCTAACTGACCTCTGATGCTTCTTTTACTTGTGACAAACTAAAATATTATATTATGCAGCATTGCTAGTAAACCCAGAAGAGTCATTGGATTGAGACCTGAAAGATGTTTTGTTTAGAAAGCAGAGTTAAATCTTTTTTTCTCTTGTGTTTCATTGGCAGGCAGGCTAGTGACAGAATTCTGTATATGTTTCTGGAACTGACTTGGCTTTTCCTTTTGCAGTCTATCGGGAGATTCACATTCTTTTAAACTCATCTAATCTATCCTGTCTTCTATATATTTTTTCCAGATGTTGTCATTATGGCCAGTTCAGCTGTAAATTACTTAATAGATGATCCTTCTTTTTTTTCCTTCCAAAATCTTATAATGTCTGTCTTTGCTATTCTCAGACCCATAGATTAATTTCACAATTCTTGAAGTACCCCTTTTATTCTTAGCATAGGTACTAAATTCATATAGTGGGTTACAGGGAGAGTTTTAAAAAATTGGTTATGCTTTTAAGATCTTGTAAGACATAGTTCCAGAATGTCCTGCCAATCTAGCACTCTTAGAATATGCATATAATACCCAGTGCCTCTTGAATATCTCCAACATTTATAAGTGGACCCTATTCATCTATAAGATGCCTATATATTGCAGTATTTTCAAAGCAGCAAAGCAATTTTTACATCTTTCCACTTTTGTTACCATATTTGTAGTTATTCCATAAGATCTCAGATTATTAATACCAATAGTATGTAGCTTTAAACATTACAGTTAAATAAAATTTAAAGCAGAATTGTTAAAAATCATTTCCCTTTTTGCTTGTCAAAATTTGAGTTTTGTGTCTTCTGTGCAGTAGTTGTAAATTGATCATCATTCAGAAACAGAGAAGCCAAGAAGTGTTACTCTCTTCTTGTTTTAGATGTCATTGATTCCATCAATTTTGTAAAATAAATACGGAACTTGCCTTTTGGTGGGTAGAACATGTCTGAGTTTACCTTCTTAAAAAAGGGATTTGCCCTTAACAAGCCTTCTACATCTTTCTTTTTGTTATTGTAATGAAATTATAAAGTTGAATTTGTTACAAGCAGGATAAGAAGTAGAGCTGTTTGGCAGACTCTCTTGCTAAAACACTCATTTCAGCAATATCTGTCTGTATTTGTATGTTTTGCCACACATATAGTACTATCTAGGCACTACAGACAGGCACATAACATTTCAACAGGGTCCTGTTAGGACACATTTCTCTATTCTAGGGTATCATCGGTCTGGTGTTGATTTCTTACCTCACCTTTTTGGGCATTCTGGGGAAAGTGACAGTGTCTTTATTAAGCAAAAAGCAGCATAAACATATGTGTCTTAAATTGAGCAGTAAAAGAGGCAAAACATGACAATTCTGAAGTATTATAGTAGAGTTCCATAGCAGTGTTCCCTTTCCCAAATTGCCAAGACTCCAGTACTAATGAGCTTCCTTTTGCATGCTGACAGCTGAGTACATGTTGATCACATTATTTCAAGGGTGATGTGGAGGAAAAGACAGTCCTTTTTAGGCTCAGAAGATAAAGATCCAGACTTCTAATTGGACCCAACAGACTACTGAGGAACTAATACAGTGATTCTCATTTACAATATGTTCTTGTCTGTCTATTCTGCTTAGGAAATGGGGTTCCACATTCCAGACCAGCTGCAGCTTCTGTATATCTTTCTTTCTCAGCCACACATTCAGAGCACTACAGTAGTCCTTTCTTGAGGCTACAAAGACATAGATCCAGAAGGTGTTTCTGGCCACTGCCACAGATTGGATATCTAGATACAGTGCAGAGCCAACATGGCATACCTCCTAAACAATGGACAGAAGCCTTCAACAGAAGAAACTGATACAGATTATACAAAATCTGCCAAGAGTTTCTTATTGCCCACAAATATTTGTCTTACTAGAGTCTGAGTCAAGAGTTTACTGACTCTATCCATCCAGGTGCTTATTTCTTCTATACAATGAGGTAGCTAGAAGATGGTATCTGCTTCAGGTACAAATGATACACATAGCTATGCCTCATGAACACATTGCCGACATTGGAACCCATACCATCACAACCATCTCATGGTTTCTCACATAGATGAAGTGCGGAAGGGAAGGTATGGAGGCCCATGGGATTCCACAGATAGGGGCTTTTGATAAGAACAGTTGCCCATCACAGCCCTCAGATGTGGTCAAGAGGAATAAGTTGAACCCTGTGAGAGCAGCGCCATCAACTTCTGCTGTATTCTATAGATGGGATGTCTTGTGGTCAGCCATATTGAGGGCATTAGATAAATACAGTAAAACTAGCATAGCTGTCTTGCCATTGTTTATGGCACAAAATCATCTGAAAGAATAACAGTGTTGTCGCAGTGTCATAGCTAGGTCTAAAACCTATCTGGAAGGGATATAGTGATAAGTAGTTACACGTTGCTAAAACTGGGCTGTTATCATCTTTCCCATTACCTTGCTTAGGGTGGTGAAGATCTGATCTCTAGTGAAACAGCTGTGGCCACTGATTAGTATTTTGACCATTGACTGGACTATAACATATCTCAGGGTCTCTGGAAGGTTTGCCTTCCCAAGCGATACATTGACAGCATGCATGAAGAACAGTCCCAAGGCTGCTATCAAGGGAATACAGGAAATAACTGGCTAAGACAATTCTGTAAAAACAAAAAAAAATTAAGTTTATACTTGTGCATCATTCTCCCTTGAAGCCCAGTTCTCCTATACTATCCATGCAATTCAGCATCTTAAATTACAGTTCTGCATGTATTGTCTGGAGTTTTGTTGTTCCATTTACTTTAGCTCAAATGGGTCTCCATCTCTGGCATTAATGTATATTTTTGGTTGTTGTTGTTGGATTCCAGCCCTACTGCACATGACCAGTTGTTGTCATCCTCCTTAATGCCCCTGAGCCGAAATAATCTTCTGCCACCTATTAGTACTGCTGATGTGGTGGAACACTTGAACACCGTGGGATCCCAAAGGCAAATGGTAAACTTCTAATTTGGTATATCATATGAAAATACATTTAAATTATATTGTTTGGAAATGAGAGACATGCTAAAAAAGTTGTTTTTCTCACTACAGATTGCATTGGCAAGTCCAAAAATTCTTTATCATATTTTTATTTTGGTTTATATTTTGTTGTTATTCACATTATCCCAATGTTCTTTGAAGTTCTTCATCAATCATATTAATAAAATGCTGTTCAGGGTGAACCTCTGTAAACTGGGATTTTTTTGGTCTGGCAACATCCATGGACCACGGATATTCCAGCACTAGAGAGTCCCAGTGAGGATTGGCATCTGGGGTCCCTGCATCTGAGCTGCCAGGTGCAACCCATCTTGGCTGCCTGGTGGGGCCAGGAGCCCAGCATGCAGCAGTGGGGCTATGCGTTGGGGTCTGGGCTGCCCAGCTTAGCAGAGAAGGGGGGGAACCAGCAGGGCTGGCAGTAGGCGAGTGGGGAGCTGGCATGGATGCCGGTGGCCATCCAGGGCTGGGGCAGGGACTGTATGAGGGGAGGCCAGAAATGACCTCCCTGGTCCAGCAAAATCTGTCATCCGGGACCAGTCAGGTGCCGGACCAGCGAGGTCCAACATGTAATACAAAAATAAGCTGATGTATTTTAACTAGCTATGGGTACGTCTAGACTACAGGCTTTTGTCGACAGAAATTTTGTCGACAGATACTGTCGACAAAGCTTCTGTTGACAAAAAGCGTCTAGACTACATTCAGTTCTGTTGACAAAGCAAGCTGCTTTGTCGACAAAACCCTGTAGTCTAGACACAACCCTAGATGCAATAACACCTTGTGTCGACAGAACTCTGTCGACAGAAGGCGTTATGCCTCGTAAAATGAGGTTTGCCTGCGTCGACAAAACTGCTGAGTTCTGTCGACGTTATGTCGACAGAACTCAGCGGTAGTGTAGATGCAGGTATAGTTTTGTCGACAAAAGTCCACTTTTGTCGACAAAACTCTGTAGTCTAGACACACCCTATCTGGAATAAGGTTGAGTGTTTTTTAGACCCAATGGAAGTAGAAACCATTTTCTATGAAGATGCTCATAATTGATTAGGCACTGATTACAAGATTTTATCTTTAATGCATGGTCACAATAAAAAAGTCTGATTGTTAATTTTTCTGTACTTTGAGGTAGAAATCCCGAGGGAATTCAAGTCGAGCTCAGAGTGCAATGGCGGATGAAATTAACCATCAGCAGCCACAGGAGAGGCTTTTCTTACCTGATCATTTCTCCAGGCCTAATACAACTCATGCATTTTGGGTAAAGAGTGGCAAATGTATCCAAACGGTATAGAGAGTGAGTCTTTGGTAGACTTTTTGCTTTAGCAGTTAGCATTTGTAAATATTTGATGGAGAACTGGATGGCTCAAGAGATTGGTGACAGCATACAGAACCTTTCACCACTAGATCCCCAGTTCAGATCTATCCAGGTTGGTAGATATAAAGTTTGGAACCTGTGAAATGACAATGTGGACTCAGTCAAGTTCCTAGAGGTTAAGTGTCCGTGTCTGTAAATTCCCCACAGCTGGCTCTTACTCTCAGTATTTTAAGATGTTGGAACTACACTTTTCTCCTTTAAAGATGATTTCTTCTCATGCCAGGTTTAACTAGACTTTAAGCTTCATAACTATTGAATCCTGCAGCACAGCTCATGGTTCCCATTTATGGTTCTAGCATTGCTGAATTGTTAATCAGGAACATTTGGGGATCCTAAAGCCTCTATTGAGTATGTTCAGAAATTGAAATGATAATGAATGACTAGAAATATATTGTAGATTTTTTTGAGGTGTGGTGCCCTCTATCCAATTTAAGGAGGGAAAACAACCTGATGAGATTACTCTTTCATACATTATGCTAATCAGATTTGGGTTTATGAGGCAGTATAAAAGTGTTGTAATAAAATGTTTAGTATTGGCACTTTGCCATTTTAAAAAAGTCCTGATACTGCAAGTATGCACAACTAGTTCACCTTATCTTTCAGCCAGATCCACAGTATCACCGTTCTTGCACAGTTATTGATTATGCTAATCAACCTGGGACCAGTAGAGGATCAGCAGGCACAGGTACATGCAGTAAATTGACTGAAATAATAATAATGGGTGTGATGTGGGGTATTTGCTGCTTTCAAATCACAAGGCTCAAGTAATATCAGCAATAAGAACAGAAAACCTATCAGTGCATTTTTTACCTCAGATTTATACTTCTGATTTATTTGTGTATACAAATTTGCACAGATATGGGGCTTGTGTGGTTTTTCTCCTGCCATTATGTAAAGTTTAACTAATTCAAAGGACTTCTGCAGTGTAGACCATGATCCTTCTTTCATTAAAATATATAGAAATTGACTGTATCAGAGGCAACAGTGTAGCGTGGCAGGCAGCCAGTTCATGAGAGGAGCTGTTTTTGAAACTGACTTCCCTTGCAGACTAACTCCGTCTGCCACCCTGTATTGCTGCCTCTGAGTGTCAGGGTGCTCCATGGGAGCGCACTGGCTGCCTGCCCCATACTCAGGGACTATGCAATGGTCATATAACCGCTAATAATTCATGTAGTTACATGACTATTCAGTTATAAGCTAGCTAATATCCCTACCTTGAATATCTATACATGTGTTATGAGCATCCACTCATCCAGCTAGTGAGCACAGCAGAAACCAGCCCAAGAAGGAATAACATTGGAAACAGTCTTGCATGTAAGTTCTCCAAGTACAAAATGCACATGGGCTTGACTCTAGCAACAGCAGTTCCCCATTCTCTTCCCTACTTGGTGGAGGGAGGGTATTAAAATCGTTATTGTTTAGACTGTAAGTTATTGTGCAGCAAGCAATGTTGTAAACCTATAGTGCAACAGCTTGCCATGCAGTTACAACCTGTGAGGACACAGATACAGTACACTTCCAAAGATACCATCTACGTTTTGTTAGTCTATAAAGTGTTACCAGACCATTTGTTGTTTTTTTTCTGTAACAGACTAACTCAGTTACCCCTGAAGCTTCAAAAGAGTAGTATGCCAAGCCAGCATCCGGACTTTATTCTCTTTTGCAGTGTCCACACAGGATATTACTCTGTGATTTAAAAAACTGCTGTAATGTAAAGTCTTACTGTGGCTTGCTAAACAGTAACTTGCATTATCAATAAGACCATAGAGCAAAAGGTGCGTGTGCTTGTCCCTCTTCATCATGATTCCAGGGAATTAGCTCCTTTTTAACGCAAGCTTCCCTCACCTCCTCCAGCGTGACTTTGCTCTATACTGAGACCATGCCCCTAAGTACTTAACCTGACCTCCACCAGAGTATCTGAATTGGGCCAAGACTGGAGAGTGCTTATGGGCACATCTGAGTGGGAGATGCATCCCAATTTCTTCTTGTATGCTTCAACATCAGAAAAGAAATAGGGGAGATAAGGTGTCAGAATTGTGTGTGTTGTATGTACACTTTGTACTGATTTTTCAAGCAGAAACATTCATATCCAAAAAGCCACTTTGCCTACTATGTTTAGAAGTTAGACCAAAAGAAGAATGTGTCTTAGGTTTTTTTTTTATTAAAGTCAGTTTTGTAGTAAGTATTACACTATCCCAGCCTCATGCTGCACCTCTGGCAAGCACTGAAATTTACCAAATATTCTTGGTACAAAGCTTCTTTAATGGATCACATTACAGATCAATCCACAATAATACAGCAGCCACCTTAACACTTTTTTTTCCCCCCTTTCTAGAAAATAATTTTTCTGAACATCACAAACCTAAAATGTATTACTTACTGTGTATTACCTGTGTTGAGTCTATATAGCATTATGTTAATATGATCAAGCTAGGGGGGAAAAAGTGGTGGTGGTAGCATAAGTTTCAGATAAGGATTGTAATACCATTCTCGCCTCCAGAAAATTTCACATAGAGGTATATTAAAAATTATTGTACATAATCAGTCTTGGTTTTTAGATGAACTAATGCAGTTACTTATACAGGCAGTCCCCGGGTTACACGGATCCGACTTACATCGGATCCCTACTTACAAACGGGGTGAGGCAACCCCACACTAACTGCTTCCCCCCAGCAGACTAGGGAGACGCGAAGCTAGCGCCCATCCCAGCAGACCAGGGAGACTCGGAGCGGCTTTTCTCAGCAGACACCTCAGCTTGAGAATAAAGGACTGAGGGAAGTGAGGTGTGGGAGAATAAAACTGAGCTCTGGAGAAATGTTTGGCTAGAGTTTCCCCTACAATATGTACCAGTTCCAACTTGCATACAAATTCAACTTAAGAACAAACCTACAGTCCCTATCTTGTACGTAACCCGGGGACTGCCTGTAAATTAAAGCATATTTTAACATTGAAAAAATGGATGTATATGGTATTGGTGCTTAAGACTTCTAATAGGTACTAAAATGGCTATTTTAAAAATGTTACCTAATCTTTTTGTAGTAGGTCTTCAACTACATGGTTCTGTGAGAGCTCACACCCGAGGTGGATCAGTTACAAGAAGCAGACAAGGACTGTAATAGGTAATAAGGATCTGTCCTTCACCAAGATGCAATGATCACATCTGGAACCTCCTGAATCAGTGTTGAATCTCAGCAATATCAAACTTGTTTACAGAAGAACTGAAGATCCTTCATAAAGATCTTATTTTTGTATTTTTTTTTAAAGCAGCTGCCAAAGACTGTAGGGTACTTAGCACATTTCAGTTTTCTTCCTGTACACCAAGCTTAGCTATTCTGGTGAACACTAAAGCTTGTATCCTAAAAGTCTACTAAACTTTCTGCTAAGCCATTGCTAATATTTTCATATTAAAAAGGACCGTTAGCTCAGCACTCTCTGGTTCCTGTTATTGCAGCAGTGGCTGCAATATTTAGTGAAAGACTATTGCACTTTTCACAGCAATTTACTTACTATACATTAAAAGATTTTTTTAAAAAACCTTAATTACTATTAAGTCTGGTCGAATATTGCTGTCAAAATAAGTAGACTTATTAATTGCATATAATACTGTCTCTTCAACTATGATCAGGTAATTTGACAATCTATTGATCCTGTGGTGAGAACACCCGCCATAGTTACGTAAAATAAGATAGCAAATAAAGATGAAACGTTGTGCTTCCATGTTTGCTAATTTTAACTTGCAATCATAACCTGTACTATCCCTTCCTGTTTTATAGACAAATACCTCTAATAGTGAGTCAGGCAAGTGTCCTCAAGGGTCAAAAACAGTCTTTTTATTGAACATTTATTTCCATTCACTACTGAAAGTAAGATTCCTTTATTCTTGATCAAATATTTTAAATTTTAGCAGATCAGGCTCTCCACTTTGAAACAAATTAGACTTAACGACCATTAGCTTCAGATCTTACTAAACACAGTAAGAGCCAGACCTGTAAATATGTCTAGTCATAAATTGAGGGGAATATCATTTTGGAAGAAATGTTAATTCTTCTATGGTGTGAAGACAGTAACTGAGTCTTTAGTAAACTGAGTCACTTTTATATGCAATTAAAAAGAACCTTTTCTAAACTGCATCTGTGCTTTTGTAATTTGAAAACATGGAGGAACAATTTGGAGATGTATTTGTTAAATGGCTTTTCTGTTGCTCATTGTGAGTACATACAAGATACAGGCTTCATGAAAGGAGATTGAATGACTAGCCCAGGGCAAGTTTGCTCTTTAATGGCCACAAGTCACCTTACTACTAGAAGTCTGTGAGTTCAGAGGAAAAAAAAATCCTTTACAATTTGTCTGTTAGATGCAGCTGCTTATCTTCCCCCTTTGTAACAGAAATAGGTTACAAATTCTATTAGCCACTGCTTGTCTTTTAGTAAAGTTTTTACTCAGATTATTCTCCCTCCCGCTCTTGATGTAGAGACCTCACCTCAAAAATTCCTGTTTATGAAAAAGCAGTTCCTTCCCAGTCCAGCCCTCTCAGGTATTCTTAGCTCAACCATCCTCTGTTCAGAAAAAAAAGAAAATAGTGGTGGCAAAAGATTGGTTTGTATTCCTGTGTTCCATAGGAATCAATCAGACCGCAACCCCATTGTGCTAGGAGCTGTACAACACAATCTGTAAGAGACATGTGGTTCTCTTCCCTAAGACCACAATCTTCTCAGAAGATCAGACAAATAGAATGAAACAACATATAGCTAATGAAGTCTCAGAAGGGTAGCTGTATTAGTCTGTAACTTTAAAAACAAGCAGTCCTGTAGCATCTTAGGGATTAACAAATACATTATATCATGAGCTTTTGTGGGTAAAACCCATTTCATCAGATGAGTAAATGAAGTGGGTTTAACCCATGGAAGCTCATGATATATTTGTTAGTTTCTAAGGTGCCACAGAACTGCTCATTTATATTGAGAGTTAAAGGTAATCACTGTCTTTTCTGGGGCACCAAGTGGGCTGCACCAGTTGATTAACCAATTATAATCTCTTTATAACTGAATCCATAGTCTACTCATTTTGGTCACTACAAAAGTTCTTTGCTTTAAGGAAATGAAGATTAACTATCAAAGAAGTTCAAAAAAGGCCAACACCAGTTCTGTGTTAGGAACCAAAATAGGTTTCCTTGCCACTCCTTTTTGCAATAACTATAGCTAACACAAACAGACAAACGCAGCATTGACAGTATTATGGCCTATAACCTAGGCTACAAACTACATGAACTCTAACACCAGCAGCTAATTAGAAATTGTCCAGAAACTAGTTCTGGAGACACTTTTTTTAACCAATATTCAGTCTCATTACAGATATGATTCCTATGTGCAGTAGGGACTAAGCACGGACTAAAGTTTGTACTACTGAATGCTTGTGTTTGCCAAGATTTGTTTTGCATCAGAGCATAGAAACTTTGATTTAATATAAACCCAGCTTTAGCTTCAGGTTAGTTACTATTAAAAGCAAGGAGGTAATACTTAACATGAAATGCTAGTCTCTCCCTTGACAAGATTGGTTGGGTTTGTAATATAGTTCTAATCAAACACTTTCAGAGGATGATCTTACAAACTGAGTACTTGCAACTTCCATTAGCTTCAAGTTGCAAATTCTCAATACCTGGCTACTAAAGAGGCCTACAAAATAAAATAAGATTTGTCTTAACAGTTTTTCATCTCAAGTAATTTTTAAATTAACTGCCCCTCCATTTATATCAAGGCATATTAAGTGAATTTCTGTTGCCTTTAAGTTATTCTTACTAAACTTAGTACAGGGCTACTCTGGTTAGATTTTTTTCTGAAGTAATTTATGTATTTATATACCTCTGAGAACTTTTATAGAACTTTAGAAATAGGACTCTATTTTAAAAAACTCTTGCAGGACAAGTGTTAAATAATAGCATGCCACCTCGCTAATATATATCCATCATTTTGTTTGAATGGTTGTTTTTTGTGTCAAATGCTGTAATATTATGCAGTATTACTTCGTTAGGCAATCCATCAGCTGTGAACAGACAGAACAGTAATAATGAAACATTTTAGATATCTATAAACATTTGTGCAAATATGGAGATGAAGAAACAAGAGTACTACAATTCTGCAAAAACTTTTATTAAAGCTAGTTTTCAAAAATCTTTAATAAACCCACTAATACTTGAAAAACTCTTGCCCTGTTCAACAGAAGTGCAAAGACCATAAGAGCAACAGAGTAGTACCGGGAAAACTAGTAAGCATTTTCTGGTTCTGTTCATGAGATACTCAGATAAGAAGCCCCACGCACCCAACATTAAGACACTCAACCCCGTTAAATTACATTGGTTTGCCACCAGCAGTAGTCTCAGGTAGGTTTTGCTGTTTACACAATTCAATTTTTTGATAGATATAAATCCAAAATAGTAAGTTTACAACCCTTATCTGTGGCACAGTGGTAATTCAATAATCTATGTAACCATAATTAAAAATTGGGAGAACATTTTGGTGACACTATTTTAGATGTTCATTTGCATTGTACTTGCTATCATCTTCTCAGCCACAATGCATTGATGCACATGTCTTCTGAACTGGAAGGCTGCAGAGATTTACTAGAACTGGCATTCATTTATGGATTGACAAAGTCTAGAAAAAGTCAATAGGTAATTATTTCTTTGCCTTCTTGGGTGCTGTTTTCCTTCCTCCTTTCTTGGAATTGTTTCCATACTTTGCTTCCATTTGAGCCAGAAAGTCATCCATTTCTTTCTTTCTATCTTTATTTCTGCTCTATAAAATGAATGAGAAATCTGTTTATCAAAAAGTAATTGAGAGATCCAACTTCATTAGACTACTAAAAGATGTTGGGATGTACTAAAGAGAGAATATGGAAGATGTAATGTCATTATGTAAAAATCTATGGTCCACCTTAATCCACATCACCTTGTATCTAAAATAAGTAAGTAGAAAAGGCCAACACAAATATTAAGTAACTGAGAATGGGACCGTGGGTTCCTGACAGGAGGTAATGGAGATCAGAACTAGGCTCTAGAAAATAGATAATCTAGCTATCTAATTTGTTTATACGGATACAGCATAAGAGGCTATCATAGGAGGTTCCCTCATCATTAACTAAATAGATACAATTAAAAAATAACCTGAACAGCAGCACATTTTTCCTCTACCCTCACAAACATGCCAGCAAGCGAAATTCAAATCAACATCCTCACATCCCTTCCAAAACGAACCATCCCTCCTGTAGCCACTTCAGTGTTCCCTAAACGCCTATTCAGACAGGCTTTGCTGCTGCATATGGACGAGATCAACACAGTCAAAGTAGATTCAGATCACCAGATTCAGATCAAAGCACAGAGAACAGATTAAGTGAATTCCAAGATCAAGAGTTCTTCATGCAGCACCCTTTGTAAGAAGCTTCCATCTACAAGTAAATTAAGCTGCCTCCAGTCTCAACAGTGACAGTATGGCAGAGGGAGCATTGCAATTCCTCAAACAAAGATCTCAGGTCATTTTATATCTTGCTTTTCAAAGGGCATCTATGCAAGCAGTTCTATTGACTGCACTGGACTAGTGGGTGCTTTAAACTCCACCTGGAAAACGTTAAGCAACCATTCAAGCTCTTGGAATATTGATGTCGTGTTCACAGCAAGACTCTCCACTTAATCAAGTTAATAATACATTCTTCAGAGCTTCAGATTTTAAATAAGTTTAAGGTGTAACCTCATGTAGAATACACTAAAGTTGTCCTACCTACAGAAGGCAGCAAAGTAGATATCAGCATGGTCCACCCCAGAAAGAAGAGAGTGTAGCCCCATGCCAGATATTAAAAAGCCAACTTGGATGCAAATGCTCTTTTGTCCTTTAAAAACAGCTGAAAATCTAACTCACTCTTTTCATGTGTGACCTGTGAGAATGTCCGACCTTCATTTATAATCACAGGAAGTTATAAAATATCTGCTAATTTCAAGCTGTTTCTTCCAAACTTCAGCTCTTTTCCCCTTATCCATGGCCTACTTGACAGCATGCTGTGGGATGGACAGGCTAGTATATAAAGCTTGATGTGATCAGTAGGAGAACACTTTAACATCTCCCTAGCAAGTGGCCATACCTACCCATTGAATAAAGAGTGACAGATTAGATTCTTGAGGTCTCTGTCCTGTTACCTGTTATCTTAGATGCCTATATACAAATGCGAGAAGTATGGGTAATAAGCAGGAAGAACTGAAAGTGCTAGTAAGTATGTACAATTATGACATTGTTGGCATCACAAAAACTTGGTGGGATAATACACGATTGGAATATTTGTATGGAAGGGTACAGCTTGCTCAGGAAGAATAGACAGAAAAAAAGAGAGATGTTGCCTTATATATTAAAAATGAACACGCTTGGAGTGAGGTAGAGATGGACATAGGAGATGGAAGTGTTGAGAGTCTCTGGGTTAGGCTAAAAGGGGTTAAAAACAAGGGTGATGTCATGCTAAGAGTCTACTATAGGCCATCTACCCAGGGAGAAGAAGTGGATGAGGCTTTTTTTAAACAACAAACAAAATCATCCGAAGTGCAGGATTTGGTGGTGATGAGGGACTTCAACTATCCAGACATACGTTGGGAAACTAACACAGCGGGGCACAGACTATCCAATAAGTTCTTGGACTGCATTGGAAACAACTTTTTATTTCAGAAGGTTGAAAAAGCTACCAGGGGAGAAGCTGTTCTAGATTTGATCCTAACAAATAGGGAAGAACTGGTTGAGAATTTGAAAGTGGAAGGCAGCTTGGGTGAAAGTGATCATGAAATCATAAAGTTCACAATTCTAAGGAAGGATAGAAGGGAGAACAGCAAAATAGAGACAATGGATTTTAGGAAGGTGGATTCTGGTAAGCTCAGAAAGTGGATAGGTAAGGTCCTATGGGAATCAAGACTGAGGGGGAAAACAACTGAGGACAGTTGGCAGTTTTTCAAAGGGACATTATTAAGGGCCCAAAAGCAAGCTATTCCGTTGCATTGGAAAGATAGAAAATAAGGCAAAAGACTGCCTTGGCTTAGCCAGGAGATCTTGCATGATCTGAAAATAAAAAAGGAGTCATATAAAAAATGGAAAGTAGGGCAAATTACAAAGGATTAATATAGACAAAACACAGGAATGCAAGGGCAAGATTAGAAAGGCAAAGGCACAAAATGAGCTCAAACTAGCTACGGGAATAAAGGGAAACAAGAAGACTTTTTATAAATACATTAGAAGCAAGAGGAAGACCAAGGACAGGGTAGGCCCACTGGTCAGTGAGGAGGGAGAAACAGTAACAGGAAACTTCGAAATGGCAGAGATGCTTAATGACTTCTTTGTTTCGGTCTTCATTGAGAAGTCTGAAAAGGAATGCCTAACAGTGAATGCTAGTGGGAAAGGGGTAGGTTTAAAAGATAAAATAAAAAAAGAACAAGTTAAAAATCGCCTAGAAAAGTTAGATGCCTGCAAGTCACCAGGGCCTGATGAAATGCATCCTAGAATACTCAAGGAGCTAATAGAGGAGGTATCTGAGCCTCTAGCTATCATCTTTGAAAAATCATGGGAGACAGGAGATCTTCCAGGAGACTGGAAAAGAGCAAATATAGCACCCATCCATAAAAAGGGAAACAAGAACAACCCAGGAAACTACAGACCAGTTAGTTTAACTTCTGTGCCAGGGAAGATAATGGAGCAAGTATTTAAGGAAATCATCTGTAAACACTTGGAAGGTGGCAAGGTGATAGGGAACAGCCAGCATGGATTTGTAAATAACAAATCATGTCAAACCAATCTGATAGCTTTCTTTGATAGGATAACAAGTCTTGTGGATAAGGGAGAAGAGATGGATGTGGTATACCTAGACTTTAGTAAGGCATTTGATATGGTCTTGCATGATATTCTTATCAATAAACTAGACAAATTCAATTTAGATGGGGCTACTATAAGGTGGGTGCATAACTGGCTGGATAACCGTACTCAGAGAGTAGTTATTAATGGTTCACAATCCTGCTGGAAAGGTATAGCAAGTGGGGTTCCGCAGGGGTCTGTTCATCCGGCTCTCTTCATCAACGATTTATATACTGGCATAGAAAGTACGCTTATTAAGTTTGTAGATGATACCAAACTGGGAGGGGTTGCGACTGCTCTGGAGGATAGGGTCATAATTCAAAATGATCTGGACAAATTGGAGAAATGGTCTGAGGTAAACAGGATGAGGTTTAATAAAGACAAATGCAAAGTGTTCCACTTAGGAAGGAACAATCAGTTTCACACATACAGAATGGGAAGCGACTGTCTAGGAAGAAGTATGGCAGAAAGGATTCTAGGGGTTATAGTGGACCACAAGCTGAATAGGAGTCAGCAGTGTGATGCTGTTGCAAAAAAAGCAAACATGATTCTGGGATGCATTAACAGGTGTGTTGTGAGCAAGACACGAGAAGTCATTCTTCCGCTCTACTCTGCGCTGGGTAGGCCTCAGTTGGAGTATTGTGTACAGTTCTGGGCACCACATCTCAAGAAAGAATTGGAGAAATTGGAGAGGGTCCAGAGAAGAGCAACGAGAATGATTAAAGGTCTAGAGAACATGACCTATGAAGGAAGACTGAAAGAACTGGGTTTGTTTAGTTTAGAAGAGAGAAGATTGAGAGGGGACAGGATAGCAGTTTTCAGGTATCTAAAGGGGTGTCATAAGGAGGAGGCAGAAAACTAATTAATCTTGGCCTCTGAGGACAGAACAAGAAGCAATGGGCTTAAACTGCAGCAAGGGAGGTTTAGGTTGGACATTAGGAGAAAGTTCCTAACTGTCAGGGTAGTCAAACACTGGAATAAACTGCCCAGGGAGGTTGTAGAATCTCCATCTCTGGACATATTGAAGAGTAAGTTAGATAAATGTCTATCAGGGATTGTCTAGACAGGATTTGGTCCTGTCATGAGGGCAGGGGACTGGATTCGATGACCTCTTGAGGTCCCTTCCAGTCCTAGTATTCTATGATTCTACCATAAGGTAGACCATGCCACTTCTGGAATAATTCAAGGACAAAGCCAGTGAAGAATATTCCTGTCTACTCCCAACAGAGCCTACTAACACATCAATGATTCCTTTATTGTGGCATGGTATGTATTTAGCGCAGAAATCCTAGGTTCCTAATACAGGCAGTCCCCGGGTTACGTACAAGATAGGGACTGTAGGTTTGTTCTTAAGTTGAATCTTTATGTAAGTCGGAAACGGCATCCAGATTCAGCCGCTGCTGAAACGGACCAGCGGCTGACTACAGGAAGCCCGAGGCAGAGTTGCTCTGCCCCAGGCTTCCTGCAATCAGCCGCTGATCAGTTTCAGCAGCAGCTGACTTGGGGACGCCTGGGGTTCTTAAGTTGAATCTGTATGTAAGACTTCCTGTAGTGAGCGCTGGTCAGTTTCAGCAGTGGCTGACTTGGGGACTCCTGGGGCAGAGCAGCTGGGGTGCTGCTGGGTTGTTTCAGTAGCGCGCCGCTTCTCGGCTTGTTTCCATTTAACTACTGTACACTATAGCATCAGCTTGATCCCTCCAGTTAAAGCAATCCTAAAGCAATGCCATACATTCAGCAGTGGCTTAATCAGGACGCCTGGGGCAGAGCAGCTAGGGTGCTGCCGGGTTGGTCCAGTAATGCCCAGAGCGGCGCTACGGGACCAACCGGCAGCGCCCCAGCTGCTGTACCACAGGCGTCCGGAGCAAAGCCGCGGAGCACGGGGGCAGCGGGACAGCCCAGACGCGCCGCGGCTGTCCTGCTGCCCGCATGCTCCGTGGCTTTGCTCCCCGTCTCCCTGGTCTGCTGGTCTCCAGCAGACCAGGGAGACGGGCAGCAAACCCCGTTCATAACTGCGGGACTGCCTGTATAAGCTTTCATGGTTTATTTGGGACCAGAATAAACATAACTACAGTGAACCAGTTTATTTTAGTGTAAGAGAATTTATTATATAAAATACTGCATCATACTCAGTGTTAATCAGCCTTCTAAAGGCTAAATGAAAAGCATGAAATTCAGCAGTAGGGCTTATTTTAATCACCAGTAAATATTTTTCCAATAGGTAATGCAGTTCTGAGAACATCTGCAAGCATATTAGCCTACTGGCTTTTGGGCACAAAAAGGTAACTCTCTAAAGTCAAAGATATAAAAATAATTTATCTACAGAGATTCTCAAATCTTACTTCAATTAGTGCTTTCAAGTCATCTTCCCCTTCACCAAGGCCAAGTTCCTCCCTGGTCTTTTCTGCCTCTTTAGCTTCTTCTTGAGCCTGAAATAGTAACTAGCTACTTAGATGAAAACAAACAGCACATTATTTGATCTAAGTTTTATTACAACAGTCACTGAATACTACCCTTTGTGTTTAAACACACTTGACCCTTTAATTCAACAACTCTAGGAAAAAGGGCATGTTAGGTTAAAGATTTTGCTGGACCAGAGAAGAAGTAAGGGGGAAGGATGTAGGACACTTCACCTGGCATGCTGTCCCCCTCACCGCTCCCAGGCTCTTCCCTTTGCTGCTATGCAAGTAGTAGAGAAAAGCCTCTGCCAGAGCACGTAACTGCACTTTTGCTCCCTCTGTCCCCCCAAGCTGGGGGAATGGGAGCAGCAATGCACAAAGTCACTTCCGTCTCCACCTACCAGCATCCATACCACAGGTGTTCCTGAATTAGGGACACCCAGAGTATGGAGATTATAGTGTAAAGCTATAGGAGCAAAACAGAAAGAAAAAAAAGGTAGAAACTTGGAAAAAGTTATTTGTTCAAGGTTGTTTGGCCTTAAAGTTTTATCTGCATTAAACAAATGTCCAATTCTGGTTGTGCTATTAGGAAATCCTACCATGTTTTTGCTTCCTCTTAACTGAATTTTAACAATATTTACAGCTATTAATATAATTGCTGCATGCACCATCTGGTGTAAAGAATAAATATATGGTATGATTTCAGAAGGAAGTTTTTTGGCCTAAGATAGTCCCTTTAGATTTGAGTCAAGAGACACCGATCTGCTCCAATATTTTGAATATTAATAAGCTGTTAGCAAAGTGTGTATGGTATTCAAACAGATGACATGCAAGTAGAAAAAATATGTAAATGCCTATTATTGCACTGAAGCCGAGAAGTAAACTGACTGCCATTAAGGATATGGCATTTGAAAAACTAAAGCTATGTATACACTTCAGGTCTTACAGCAGCACAGCTGTACTGTTGCAGGTGTGCTGCTATATGATCTCCTGTGTAGCCACTCTGTGTTGGTGGGAGAGAGCTCTCTCATTGTCTTAATTAAACTGCCCCAACAAGCGGCAATAACTACTGGCAGAAGAGCATCTCCTGCCAACAGTGCTGTCTACACCAGTGCTTTTGTTGATGAAATTTATGTCAGTCAGGATTTTTTCTTCCAACAAAAATTTTGCCAACAAAAATGCTAGTGTAGACAAAGCCTTTGTTATTGCTGAAGAGACAAAAACAGGAAGTGTGTAGACTCAGATTCAAACTTCAAGTCCATTAACTCATTAATGGTGTGTCAGTCCTGTTTTTATAAATCACACCCCGAGAATTTGTAAGTAAAATGATTCACAGTTTAAATGGATTTGAAAAGAACACTTCCTGACAAGTGTAAACATTCAACAGCTTTCCCCTTCGAGCCTTTGCAGGTGCAGTAACATACCCTCCTTTTTCTTGCATTCATTTTTTGCTTAGACTCTTTTACAAAGACTTTGTAAGATGGAACTTCTCCAGATTCAATGGCTTGTTGTATGACCTTCCTTATTCTTGGTTCATCTGCATAATCAACACACAGTACAGATTCCATAATTTTGTCCATGTCTCCCTTGAAATCTTTATACGCTGCTTTAATATCAGCTAGCTCTTCTTCTGAACCTTTATACTTCTTTTCGAAGTCTTCAATATCTTTTATGGTGATCTGAAATTTCAAAACATGATTTACCAGTGAAGACAAATTCTCAAAGTCAGATTAGAAAAAACCCCTGACACATTCATGTTTTCCAGTCCAAAATTTGATGTTAAAATTATTCTAAAAAGGTTTAGTCATCTATGGCTGAAGTTCTTCAGGAAGGACTCTATTTCAACTCATGGGACAATTTGAAAAGCAGTACTGTCATCTGAGAAAAGTTGGACACTGAGTCCCAATTAAACAATGTCTGAAATACTGCTCTAAGAAATCAAGTATCCTACTAACTAATGCATAATGTTTTGTAAATGTACAAATAAGGTCCCAAGTAACAGCTCTGCAAATTTCTACAATGGGAATATGCTGAAGGCAAGCCAAGGAGGCCCTCACTGCTCTTGTGAAATGTGATTTAATCCTTACAAGGACTGGTACTAAGACTAATTTGTAGCTCTCTTCAATACATAACCTAACCTATTCACACAATATTTGAGAAGTGCTTGCCTGCTCTTTATTGTTTTGTGCATAAGAAATAAGACTTAGTGCCTTTCTAAATCTCTTGGGTTTATTTGGGTAAAAAGAAAAAAACCTTTTAACATCTAGCATGTGAAGTTCTGCTCTGTCTGAATGAGCATGAGAAACTGCTTAGGCTAAAAATGTAGAGTGAGGATAGCGAACCATTCTGGTCTTGTGGAAAACTGAAGGGCTGACCAGCCAACAGGACTTGAAGATCACTGGAAGGGGAATATGGCTATAATGAATCCTGTTTTGGTTGACAAGGTGAAACAGTGAATAATCAATAAAAGGCTCAAAAGGAGCCTAAAAAAAGTGTAAGAACTGTTAAGGCCCCACAATGGAGTTGCATCTCTGGAATAAGACCTTAATAAGTCTCTTTACTGTGTCTGAGTTAGTGATACAAGTGTGTACCCATTTAAACAGTTAACCAATAAGCTTCAGTTTAACCATTTCTGTTACGGTTACACACCAGCTCCTGCTCTTGGGGAACTAGCTTCTGCCCCAGGCTACAGGCTCCTTATCAAAACCTGCAGCACAGGGCAGCAACCAGCTCCCTGTGAGTAGGGCCAGCAGCTGGTGCACTTAAGCTGATTCCCACCAACTCTGGCTCCCAGCCCTGTTCTCGGGGAGTGAGCTGTCACCCTGTGCTGCAGACTCTGCAGTATAAAGCTTATCCTGCAGAGCCTACAGTGTGTAAACACTGATTTTTAATCGTTATATTAACAACTGTTTTTTGCCATCCCTAGTCTGAGTAAACACACAGTCTTACCCTCTTCCTGCCTCTGTTACAGAGGCAGCAAGGGGAGGGAGAAGCAAGTAATGATTTGACTAGTTGCTTACATACAGTAAAACTCCGATGGTCCAGCATCCTGATGGTCCGGCACCATCAGGAACCCGGAAGTGCTCCGGGCAGCCAGACCATTGGAGCTGCTCTGCCCCCAGCTTCCCCGATTCAGCCACTGCTAAAACTGACCAGCGGCTGACTCCAGGAAGCCCGAGGTAGAGCCGCTCTGCTCCAGCTTCCTGGAATCAGCCGCTGATCAGTTTCAGCAGCAGCTGACTGGAGTACACCTGGGGCAGACCAGCTGGGGTGCTGCCGGGTTGGTCCTCCCAGCACCGAGATGTGGCACTGCGGGGACCACCCCAGCAGCGCCTCAGCTGCTCTGTCCCAGGCATCCCGATTCAGCTGCTGTTGAAACTGACCAGTGGCTGACTTGGGGACACCTGGGGCAGAGCAGCTGGGGTGCTGCCAGATTGGTCCAATAGTGCTGCTCTTCAGCGCTTCCTGGAGTCAGCCGCTGATCAGTTTCAGCAGCGGCTGACTTGGGGGACACCTGGGGCAGAGCAACTGGGGTGCTGCCGGGTTGGTCCTCCCAGCACCGAGATGTGGCACTGCGGGGACCACCCCAGCAGCGCCTCAGCTGCTCTGTCCCAGGCATCCCGATTCAGCTGCTGTTGAAACTGACCAGTGGCTGACTTGGGGGCACCTGGGGCAGAGCAGCTGGGGTGCTGCCAGATTGGTCCAATAGTGCTGCTCTTCAGCGCTTCCTGGAGTCAGCCGCTGATCAGTTTCAGCAGCGGCTGACTTGGGGGACACCTGGGGCAGAGCCAGACTATCGGAAGGGGGGGCTATGAGAAGTCTGGGGCCAAACCCCTCATAGCCGCCCCTTGCGATAGTCCGGCATATCTGATAATCTGGCACTCCCTGGGTCCTAAAGGTGCCGGATTATCTGAAGTTTACTGTACTACTCTGAGTTACAACAGAGAATTCTTTCCCAGGTGTCTGCCTGGTAAGTCTTGCCCACATGCTCTGGGGCAGTGAGGGGCTAGGGTTGCCAACTCTCCCGGACTAGATGGGCTGAATGTCATTGGTGTGCAGTTGGTCTGGGCTAGAAGAGTTGGAAAACAACAGAATTAGCAACTGCCTAGGACAGTACAACACAGATACAATAGATAGCTGGAAAGAAGAAGTTCTCTTACGTAACCAAGGCAGCAGCATTTTAGAGCAAGCATCCATCATTATCTATCAATTATCGACACATCCACACTCCTAGGAGAACTAGATATGGGACCCCCTCCCCAAAAGTAGCAATACTAAGAACCCCCCTAGGTCACTAGCCCTTGGCTCTGGGAGCACCTACCTTCTTGAAGAGCAATCTCCAGTATTCCTCCCAGTTGCGGTCCAGGCTCAGCGCATCTGACTCCTCATCTACCACCCCCTGCTCGTCATACAGCGCCCGCTGCGCCTGGTCACTCAGCACCACGTAGGCCTTGCCTAGGAGCTGAGCAAACAACTGTCACTCTCCGCGGCGCCTGCTCCCGAGCAGCGGCCCGGCCCCACGTCTTGTGCTCAGTCTCCCTGCCCCACGGAAGCAGCTCGCTGTGGCCCGCGGGCCAGGACAATGGCCCAAAGCCGCTACCTCACGGCACGGGGCAGCCAATAGCCTCTCCCCAGAGCCCTCCCCCCGGGGGGCGGCAGCCAGGGGTGCCGGTCTGGGGGCGCGTCTTTGCCCCCTTCACCCCCACGGGCTGCCCTGGAAGTGCCGCGTCGCCTCCTCC